CTATTAATTTTTATATGAGAGAAAATATTAAAAAATTCGTTTGATGGCTGAAGATTCTAACGGCATACTTAATGTTGATTGTAATAAAACTTCTCTGGCATGTCATATACCGTAGTTATAATATGATAAAATACCCCCTTATTACAATTTTAACTGAAAATTGTGACGTGATGGAGCAATTTCTCAAAATTATGACGTGATGGAGTAATTTGGAAACCAGATTCGTATTCAACGTTCTAAAAAGTGGGAAATGATTAATCTCACTCTGATGTATTTTTTTATCGAACAGTACGTTATCAAATGTATTGCGTTAGATATTAATCGCGATTATTTCGTTGCGATAATAACTTATATATATTCTTAAAAATTAGAAATGTATAACTTCTTACTAACAGTTTTACGTAAAAGTATAATTTCATGTAAACGATCTTACGCATGTCAACAATATTACCCAGAAAAGTAATATCCTCTTTGCTTTATTCGCATCTCATTATGTTTAAAACTCGATTTTTTGTTGAAGACCTTTTTATTTAAATATAACGATTAGATATCTTCACGTAGAGATAGATATATGTTTTGGATTTTCTCAAATAGAGAGTCTCCACTTAGAATATAGAAAACGCAATAGTCAAGAGAGAAAGACTCCTGCACGTGTTCACGTACAGTGCATTTGTTACTCGGAAGTATTATGCTCGTTTTCCTAAATGTAATTTCGAAGCATGCGCGAATAATCAACTTTGATCCGACACGAGTAGTCTATTTTGCGAGATAAAATTTCGTCACGGGCGAGTTCGCTTCATGCCGAGCATAATGCAATATTCCGTCGTGCTACTAGGAACAAGAAAATGCGCGAGAGGAAACTCGAAATAGCGAGAGAGCGACGTCTCGCTCCTATCTCGCGACGCTTTCGCGTATCCCGGGAAATTTTTGAAGTAACGAACTGTTTCCTTTTGCGAATTCCAGAAGGCATGGGGAGAAACCACAAAGTTTTAGTGCGATTGTCCTAAACCGCGCGATACACAAAATGCAATTTGACTGCGACGACGTGTAGATATCTCGAACAAGATGAAATTTCAGGACTCTATTTTTGAAGGAAGTCGATGCGATACTTCAACATTGATCGCAAAGTTTTTGAATATACTTCGAAGGAAAATTGATCTCATATTTTGAAGACTTTACGTCTTCCTTCGGGGATTTATTCCTCTGTTTTAATTCACTCGGAATAAAAGAAATATTATTAGTTTCAAGACAATTTTTATTTTTATTTGTAATCTCATTCATTGATTTATTTGGAAAAAAAAAAAAGCTATGGCAAACACATTCGCGAGATATAATTTCTGACTTGTAACGAAAACTACCAGGATTGCTTTACGCAATCCTGGCAATCTACACGCCAGTCTACACTTAAATTTACGGAAGAAATAGGGGACAATCCAATATTGTACGTGGTATTACACATGGCGTGCTGCGTATACCCAAGATTTAAGTATATTCTCCGCGAAGTACATTTCGCAAGACAGCGCGCGGGCAAGATGGCTCTTTTTAAGAAAATCTCTTGATATATTCCACGATTGCCGTTATTCAGATCGAGCTGCGTCTTCGTGGATTCTCTGAATAATGCAAGGCGCAGCATGTCGTCGTTGTGAAGCGCGCACGGATGCCGTCAGATTTATGACGCACGCGAATGAATGTCGACGGTCCAAAGCCGTATGCGAATTGCTGTTTCCAATCAAGCTGATGAACCGAACTTAATGGAATCTTTTAAAATCGATTGATACATATTTCCGAGCAAACAAAGTAATATGGAGTCTTTCTCCAGGAACATTCTTTTCGTTTTAGTTGCTACTCGCTAATTGTAAGTTATTTTTATAAACACTAACAATGTTAATTAATTATATTGTATTTTTCTCACTTTATATCTTTGACATTAAAGAAATTATTTTTGGTCCGATTGTCAAATCGTACTAAAAAAAAGAGTCTGATATTAGCTACCAAATGTCGAATGAAATAATTCCAATAAAATGTTTACTTAATATAATCAAAAATAATTTTATTTTTCTGAACATTTAATAAGTATTACTAATCCAAATAGTTGATTGTATTATTATGTTTGATAATACTTACTTGAATATTACAAAAAAATATAATTATTTTTTTTTACTTTATCCGAACAACTATTATTAACAGACTTTTTCTATGTACAGTTTTTATTTTCTCCGTTCGCAGAAATATAAGAATTCTCGGTGTGTCTGTGATATTTTCTTTCTTGGAGGATAATTTTGCTGTAGTGCAGATGCGGATTCGATCGTATTTACGACTGTGTTACATGAGCGCTGATTTATCCACAAGACACGAGAGTTGGAGTGTAGTGCTATCTCTCTCTCTCTCTCTCTCTCTCTCTCTCTCTCTCTCTCTCCCTTTTTTATTTTACACGATATTTGAAAGTACGGAGTATCTCGTGGAGAAAAATGGACTGCCTTCGCCCATTGGTAAATGGTATTATAAATCGGTCGGAACCGCGTGCGTTCTGGTGAAAAAGGTTTCTGTCACGCAGCTTCTTGCACTCAGAGAATGCTCAATCCTTCAAGGATGCTTCGTTCGATAGCTAGTGTGGAGAAAAGATTCGTTCCGCGTTTTGAGAGAGTATGTCATTGAAGCACAGGTACGCAATCGCGCGATGCGATACCGTGATACCTGTATACATGTATGGTATGTTTAGTGTACGTATATGTGTGTGTTTGTGTATGGTGTACACGCGATAGTGATACGTTAAATCTCCGTGAGATCAATATTCTACCTGTAATTCCGATGGCTTCTTTGATGGCAGAAGCCTTTTCTCCGACGACATGTTCGACGGAAACCTTTGCTCTTGATCATCCCAAGAGATATAGAGGTCGAATCCGGGCTTAAAGACAAGACACGAATACAATTCGTTCTTCCTGGATTGTTTGTTTGAAAATCTTATTGCGTTGTCGAAAATCATTTTCGCTGTAGAAAGGAAGTTCCTTTCAAATTATCTTGAGTAATTTCTTACGTTTATAAGAATAGCACATTATACAATTATACAATTTAAAGGATATGGAAGTAGGTAAGCTTCAAAATTATTAATTGTTAAATTTAATAACTAATTTCGATAATTAATTTAACTTGAGTCTTCGAAACTTTAGCGCATATTTTTATGTTGTTCCAGAGTGTATAAAAATTTGAGAAAATTCACATTTGAAAGTTTTAACGACCAGTTTTTATTGTCATAGTTTTCACTATCATGGAAATTATACTATA